ATACTATATGTAAGAAACTTTTGAAAAAACTGTTCATCATGTGTGTGAAAACCATTCTGTTTGTTGTTCAGTATGAATGAATTTCTATTCTAATTTCTATTCTATCTTCTTGCCATACAGGTGTTCAATCTTTGTTTGGCAAAGCCTAAAGCTATGCCCATGATAGGTTCTGGTCCGATGAATCTGCTTGCAGCACCCTTCTTTGCAAGAGAGTCAACAGCTTCATTGCCTTCCAGGCCAGTATGGCCAGGAATCCAGACCAGCAGTAATGCCTGGATCTAAATTTACATGATTTTCCTGTCATTTTCCAGGTACACGCTTCTCGAGATCGTCTTCACGAAAAAGTAGACAAACGTTGTCTTCCCCTAGAGTTTGGTGGAGAAATGCCAGCCAAAGAAATGATTGAGATGTGGAAGGAAGATTAGATAGTGTTTCTGTGAGGTGAATTTTTATTTTTCAAAAAATATTTATTTATTCATCAACTTCTATTTTGTCTCCTTCAAAGTAGTCTACCAACTTAACGGGTCCTTTAGTTGGATTTCCAGAAGATTTACAGGTCTTCCAGTTCGAATATCGTTATTACTGGAGACGATGATGATTTGGGTTTCCACTCTATTTAGTTTAAGCTCATTGTTAGCGTACCATATTTCAGCCTTATCTTACATTATTTTAAAAAAATTTTTTGTGATGACAAATAGATAACATTAAATGCATATGACATCATATCATAAGAGTATATACAGGGTGGGCCATCGAAAACTTGACATGGAGGTTTTGGGTACTGATCTTGCAAATCCGATTTTTATTGGGAAGGGGTTTTTTCCCCATTTACAGCGTCGCCACTTCAACCCCGAAGCAGAGGGGTGAACAACCCTTGGAATTTTAATAGGGATTAGGAGGCGAGTCGCACATCGTTTGAAATATCTTGTAATTTTTAAAATAAAAGGGGGGGACATTGAAGAAATGCACTGTATGACGTAGAATTCTTAATGCATACTTAAATGAAACTAACAAATCAAATTGGAGCAGTTGATGTTTTCTCTCAGAAAAATTATGATAATCTTAGGTGAACACAGTTGATAAAATTTGATTTCAATATTCACTATAGCTGCTTTCAGAGTCAGAGTCAGAAATGCTTTATTGTTGCTATATTGTTGACAAAGAAGGCTTGAGAACCGAAACAATCTGAAACTTAACAGTAGAATGAAGGTCAATTTGGCTTACAGGCAATGAATCAACTTTTGAAAATAATATTTTTGATTTAGAAAAATAATTATCAAACAATTTTTTCATTGGGTGTGACCTCGGTGTTTTCGGGCTCCAATTTTGGTTTGATTATTAAAATATTGGAACAATAGACCTGTATTATAGTGGGTGAAATACCTATTCATTTTCTATTGACGACCTTTCAATGTTATGTTTTCTCTATATGCTATGAGTATTATATTATTGTTTGTACGTGTATTATTATTATTATTAGTATGTATTATATTATCGTATTTGTGTATTTTAAGTGTAATCAATGTATTATGGAAAAGAAAGATTTATTGTTAGATTTAAAAGATTTTATTTTGATGGTTATTTGATGCCACTGTATTCATCACTTCGACTTAATTACTATTAATGAACATTCAAAGTCACTGACTTATGTGTTACAGGTAGTAGAATTAAATGGAATATTCAAATTCAGACGTCTTTTCCTGAATTCCTTTTGAGAACCCCAAGAATGAATAAAAAATTCTGCAGATTTCCTTTGCGGACTCGGTCAATATAAAAAGAAAATTAGAAAAATTGTATATCAATTTTCGATCATACAACGACGTGCGTTTCGATTCCTTTGCCATCCTCAGCATAATAAATAGTGAATCTGAAAAAATGAACCTTAAATGTTCAAGCCAGTCTCAAATATACCTACACAGTAGGTTGAATGGACTGATGCCTGTCAGAAAACAACTACTCCACTGGCTAATGTCACGAACGGCGTTGGATTATATCCGACATGCGTCAGTGCAGGAATCTTCAGAGAAAATTTCGTGCATATGCAATTGGCAATACAACTGAAAGAGTCGACCTTCAATTGTGGAACGTGCACACTTGCAGACCGGTTTCAGGGTCCTTAGCCACTCGTCAGTGCAAGATAGTGATCATCATCGACCTAAAGTCAATGACATTCCACAATTGAAAATTGAAATTCTTTCAGAGTATTTCATTTCTGGTCTTAAGTTGGAACGAACAACGAAAATGTCACGCCATCTAGTGGGCGGGGTACTAATCAACTGCATATCAGAAATTGTCCCGATTTCTCTGAATAAGGAAGAAAAAAACTTTCTTATTAGTCAGTGGCTATGCTATGTGCAACGAAACGCAAGATCTGACGGAAACATCGCCGCTGTCTGTGAGAGTGTACAGGGGCATCCGAGGCAGTCGATTTCGCGTCGCTCAAATGCTCAAATTCAAAGTCCAGCGTGTGGCATAATTAGAAAAGAAAGAGGTAAGTTCTGTTCTATGTTTATTCACTAGACACTATGCAAAATGAGAAAAAAAACCATCAGAGAAATATTGATGCCCTCTTCCGAAAAACAAAAGTAGACTGGCAAGGGTTTGAATACAAAAACCCCAGAAATGGTGCGATTCTACACGTTAATGATATACAGTTTCAGCAGCATTAATTCCTTGTTCGTTAGATGCTATTCTTTCTGCATAGCATCCAGAGAAGAGTTGGGTATTTTGTTATTTATAAACAATTTCGAATCAGAATATCTGGTTTTTCAACATTTGCATCAAGAAAGGAGTGTTTTCAAGATCCATCCAACTGAAAATATCGAATAGAAGCCAGGCAGCACAAGATGGCATAAAAATAGGAATAATGAAATGGATGAAAGAATTGCGAAAACTGGAATATAGTAAGAGGGACAAGGCAAATACATACCTTAAGGTAATACACACGGAATTACTTCATAGTTGTCATAATATACAGGGTTGCGCAAAAGTCCGGAATAAAATTAATATCTTTTTAATCAGTATCTTGGGAAAAAAAAGCTGAAAGACTTCAGTTGATTTCACGTTGTACGCATTTTTTGGCAATGAAATGAAATATTTTTTTTCAACCCCTTAGCTGCAATCTTCCCCAACTTTTTTTTTCAAATGCAAACCTATGTCGTATATGGTCTCATTGAAAAGCTCGTAAAAAATGGAATCCGACCATATTCTTTATTTTTTTCCTCATGCGGTTAACACGAAATGAGAAAAAACTCTTAAAACCAAAAAAGTTAGAAATACCTACTTAGTGCTATCTACGGGTGAATTATCGTTGCAAAAAACAAATAAGTGGTGATGATGTACATTGCTCAACAATTGCTAAGGATCACCAGTACCTACTTTCTAAAAGTTTACAAATTTTGAGAACAGACCAACCGGGCCAGGCACCACAATGAATTTTATTGATTTATGTGTAAAACTTATGACGTAGTGTAGCATCAACATTCTGTGGATTTTATTTTTTCACCAAAAACTTACACATAAAATCAGTTCCTTCCTAAGCAATTGTTGACCAGTGTACCTCAAAAAGAGAAAAAGGTTGTTGCATTTTTTGTACCAAAATGAATGCACTGATGAGAACTATTGTCTTGACTGAGTTTTAAAATTGTGGCATTTCTGGGTGAAATTGAAAATATGTATGTTTAGTTTATCAATTGGGTACCTTCGAAGTGTTCTTTTTCAATTTGCTAAACAAAAATGGTATTGTGGGATGTAGGGATAGAATGCGGAGTCAAAGTGAGGTGTGTACTTTATTTAATGCAAAATAGCCGGAAAATCACATTTCCCAGGCTACTGTGAGTAAGATCTTGAATTTGAAGAACATGGTATATTGAAGGACTTGCCAAGAAGTGGCCGGCCACATGTTTTGGACGAAGATGAAAAATTGGACATTGCCTTATAACAAGATATTAAAATTGCATATAGAACGAGTAAAACGTTGGGAAAATTAGTTAAAAATAATAAAGACAAAACATCAAAATTCGAGAAATCAGGTGTATATAAATCGAAGTGTGGAACGTGACCTAAGGTATATATTGGTCAAACTGGCAGAACATTTAGGAATCGAATCCAGGAACGTCATACGAAGAAAACAAATTCAACATATTCGAATAATCTTCTATAAGAAAATGATTTCTTTAACGCAGAGTTCGAAATTTGGCACATAGAAAATAAAGGTTTGAAACTGAATCATTTGGAAACAATGGAAATTATTCAACTTAAAAATTCAAACATTCTAATGAATGACCAACTGGATTTGAATAATAGATCACAATTATTGAACTTGTTTTCTTAAAAAGCGAGAAAGAGTTATTATTGATGTAGATGTGAGGTTATATTTCAGGTGATCATAATTGAACAGGTACCTTAGGTAGAGGTTAGGTTAGGTTGTGCATATGACTCCGTGCATATGCGTTGTTTCCTGCTTTAGGCAAACAAGTGTTGCCAACCTTTACACTTGGCTGCACCGCGCTGATGAGGCCAATAGCCAGAAACACGTGTCCGCGGTTTGCCCCCCTTTTTGAAGTGTTATGTCCACTAATTGTTTCATTTTTGATTTGTACATCATACACACTCGATAAAATCTTTCTATGTATTTATATCTTGGACCCGGATATCACGCAGGTAGCTATAGCTGCCTACGTGGTCATGTTAGATGTAGCCTGGGAATTCTAGGTCTTTCAACTGGAACCACAAATGTGCGGTTGGCTCTTGTTGTTGACTCCGTGCATATGTGTTGTTTCCTGCTTTCGGCAAACAAGTGTTGCCCACCTTTACACTTGGCTGCACCGCGCTGATGAGGCCAATAGCCAGAAACACGTATCCGCGCGGTTTGCCCCCCTTTTTGGAGTGTTATGTCCATTAATTGTTTCATGTAGTTTATGAAATCAATTTCAAACTATTTACATTTTCCTGCGGAAGGTTACGTTTGCTCTCACAAAACTATTATACCGCACCATATATGAGATTCATTTGGTTTAATGGTTTTCGAAAAATGATTAAGTTCATACAAATTCTTAGTGTTCTATTGAATCATAACTATGTGCCTATAAGAGCTTCTTGATATTTAATACTCGTTATTGTCGAAATCTCGATTGGAATCACTAATTGTACAAAATACTAATATCACCAACTTCCTAGTGAAGATCATAATTTATATATTTGATTTCTTTTGGACATGCATTTTCGAAAAAAAAAATCGATTGATGTTAAGCTCTATTCAAATCTAGAAACTGAAGATATTTAAAATGATGATCGGTGATCTCAACAATTCTCTCGCTATAAGCTTCCAGATTGTTGACCTTCATGTCACTTATTAAATCAGAGAGGTCGTATCCTTTCTTTACATCCTCAAATGAAGGCGCATCCTCTACGTCACAGAAGAAAAACTTTGTGTAAGTGATTGCCCAAAAGAACCCGTAGTTGGAGTATCTTTTCCAGTGGTCTAATAATCTATGAAATGGAAATATCTTATTGATATTGGAGCCAAGATCTCGCAGACAGGTTTCCAGTTGTGAGTGGTAATACCTCAGCAGCTCGTTGAGTTGGGGAAGATTTTCCAGAGGAATACCACTCAAGAGGAAAAAAGAAACGTCCAATATAGGCGAATGTAATTCGGATAGCTGCCAATCGATTATGGCTACTTCGGTGGGATTCTCTGCGTTTCCATTCTGGAAATAAAAAAGATTTGAGTACATTCGGGATGAAAATATGATTGCTTTGAACTATTAGCTTGTTTCAAGAGTATTGTCAGTTTTAATGAGTTTAATCTGTAATATATCAGTGAATACTCATTCAAATCAAATAGAAATAAGCAGAATTTGATTTAGTGCTATTTTGCTAACGTAACACAACTCGATTGCTTTCATCAGCATAAAAATTGGGTGTTCAGGGTTCGATTAAGTCGGTGAAAGCCTTTTGTGCCTGGACCTGATTGGCGAAGGTTATGCCGGTGCGGAAGTTATCGAAGTGCTTGAAAAGATGATAGTCGGTTAGCGAAAGATCTGGAGAGTGAGGTGGCTGAGGCAGAACTTCGACGCTTAATCCGTTTAGTTTCCGGAGGGTGATTTGGGAAAAGCGCGGATGAGCGGTGTTGTGGAGCAGGACCTCTTCTGTTGACCAGTCCAGCTGCTGCTGATGCAATTTTCAGTACATTTCGTCGATTTCCTCACAAAAGGACCCTGCTATGTTGGTTTCGCACATTTGAAGGAAGTTATAGTAAATCACACCTGCCGCTGAACACCATACAGTAACCATGTTATTTTTTGGAGCTTAGGAGTTCCATAAATGAGGTCTGATCTGAGCTTTATAAAGCAACAAAAGTTGCTAAGGTATGTACAGTTTTCTGGTTCGGAACAGTGTTCCAAGCTTCCGAGAAGCAGCCTTTGCAATTCCAGCGACATGATTGTGCCGAGACATTTTGGTGTCCTTTTTAACCTCTCAAAACTCATCGAAGCATAAAGCGTAATTGTCTGTTCCGACATTATTATATCCGGTTGCTCTGCTGTTAAATCATTTGCCAAACAGAGGCGACACACACTGTCTTCCGACAGTCCAAGTCTCTGCCTATGATGATTCAAATGACAGTGACCTGTGAGAAGGCCTATTAGACATCGTAGTTCATTCCTACTATAGTCCAACGACTATTAGGTATCAAGCTTGAGTGAATAAACGCCTTGAAGTGAACCAATCCTGGAAGATTCTGCCAGAAGTCCATACATCTGCCATCCAGGTATTCAATCTTTGTTTGGCAAAGCCTAAAGCGATGCCAATGACAGTTTCTGGTGCGATGGAACTGCTTGCATCACTCTCCTTTGCAAGTGAGTCAGTAGCCTCAATGCTTTCCAGGCCAGTATGGCCAGGAATCCAGACCAGAGACAATCTGTTAAGCCTTCCTATCGAGGAGAGTCGTTTTTGGCAATTTGCTATCAATTTAGGCTTGCCCGGTTGAAGACAAGAGCCTTGAACGCCGCTTGACTGTCCGAGAATATTTTTATTGACTTGTGTATGAGGTTGGATTTTTCCAATCTCCCTGCACACAATTCAATAGCGTAAATTTCAGCTTGAAATACAGTCGCATAGGTTCCTAGGCAGGTTGATATCTCTGTCTTGGGTCTGCGACAAAAAACACCTGCACCAGAACCGAAAGGTGTTTTTGATCCATCTGTGAACCAACAAATATCTGCTCTTAATATTTTCTTCTCCCGGAGGATGCGGTTCTGCCTACTCATAAGGCTGTTCGTAGTTGATAGTTTGAGGCATAAAGTCAGAGGTCATTTCTAGAATGTTGTGACTTCCAGTGTTGATCAACAGTCTGTTGCACTCTGCATTATATCGATTTGTGTAATTAGCGATGTGTACAACTATATATGCAGTCTTGCCTTTCTCTCCAGAAAAATGTGGAAAGGAGGTAGATCTAGAAGGATCTCCTTGGCCGCTGACGGTGTGGTACTGACGGCACCACTGATGGTCAGACAAGCCTCCGTAAGCCAGGCTTACGACCAAGCTCCGCTTGGGCCGTTTTCTGTAAAGCCTTCGGCCACTAAGCAATTGCACCATAAGTGATCATTGGTCTGACAATCATCACATGAATCCAATGGATTTGTTTGGGACCTAAACCCCAAGTTTTACCACAAATCCTTCGACATGTCCATTGAGACAGTCTGGCTTTGTGTAAAACTTCTCCCAAGTGAGCGTTCCAGGTGAGTTTTCTATCAAGGACAATTCCCAGATATTTCACCTCCGCTTCAAATGGAATAACCTCACTATTGAGGAAAAGTGGCGTTAGATCCTCCAATTTTCTCCTCCTGGTGGAGGGAATTATCAAAGTTTTGCTGGGGTTGACAGACTTCTGCTCCCTCAGGCACCAACTGTGAACAACGTCCATCATGCTTAGGAGGATATTACAAGCTACCGTTCCCGACGTGGACCTTGCCAAGATGACAAGGTCATCTGCATAAGCTCGTTCCCTTTGCGCCAAAGCAAAGAACAACAGACAATTTCTGCCGATGATTCAAATCGTGAGGTACCCACTTCTCGAGCTATTAGATCATTCCAATACGTTTTGAATCATCAAAAAACGCATGGGAGCCGACGCCCAGTTTTTCCGCCATCCTACACACTGTTTGTGATAGTCCTCAAATCTTCGTCCTGGATTATTGTTTGTCGATCTGAAATCTCCGGAACGAAATTTCGCAAACCAACGTCGTACAGTACGTTCATATACACCATTATTTTGCCAAACATCTGGCAAATTTTTCGGGGGGTTTCAGCAGCGCTTTGATTCAATTTGAATCCATAGAGAAAATTTGGCCGGAAATTGCTCATCGACATATAGCAATAACCCATCTGCATGGCGATGACCAGGAAAAACCTACGCTCAACAGTAGGATTTCTGACTGGCCACTGTCAACTAAGGAAATACCTCCATATTATGGGGTTAGTGGATACACCTCTATGCGGGATGTGTGAATAGGAACATGAAACTGTCAGGCATGTTCTATGCGAGTCCCCGGAGTTATCGTTAATAAGAGAGTGTGTTTGGCAAGATTTGGCCTACACCTGCCGATATAAAGGAGATATCTCCTAGTGACCTGTCTGTGTCAGGTGTCAAGTAGGTTCAACGCAGAACAATTCGACCACGACCGCGATTCACTTTTCCTTAGATTCACTGAGAAATGCCCGACGCTAGCAACAATAGCCGCCGGTTAGTTTTTGGGGGCCCCCATGCATAAATTCAGTTGGGAATAATCATGGCAAAACAATATAACCGATCGCGAAAGAATAGCACCTAAAGGCTGACTTCAGGGCACTCAACCCGGAAGGGGGCATGGGGGATGACCTGTCTACCTTTCTGGAAAGGACAGGATGGACGAAGACCTAGGAGGACAACTCCTAGGAAGGATTTAAAATGGGTCACATGTGGCCTAAGTGCTGTGGGCCTACACTCAGCCTCCCTACTCTACAGAACCCAGCTTCTCCACGAAGCCGATTAGTTTATGTAGTGAGTGTTCTTTCAGATCAGATGGTAGAAGATACATAACATCAAAACGGACAAAACAGCCTAATATATTTCTACTGCAATATGACATTTAGCTTAGCAAACATTTCTTCTTTTTGGAAAAGCTATTGTCTAATCCATTTATTGCGGTTTTGTAAACTGCTTGGTGAAAATTTCATGATGGAGTATTATTTGAATAAGCATGTATTCCTCTGTCAATACTGTTTTCTATATTTTCTATTTTATTTCTTTGTTTCTTCTTCGAAAATGAAATCTCATAGCCGCAAGTATAGCAAGTATCTGTATTCCAGATTGATCGAGTTTTTGCGTATTTTCAAGTAATAATGAAAACACCAATTGAGATTTTGTTCAGAATGAAATAGGGAATTTCAATATGCACCAATTTTGTTGGATAATCATTTCCCGAAAACAAAACTTTACATACCTCATACAGGAACAAGAAGTTGTTGATATGACTATCACAATGAATTATCACAGCCTCCTTTGGAACGTCTTTCAATATTTCCTCGACTTCGAATTCTGCATAATTTTTGAAAATTGCGTCAAACTTTTCACAAAGATCCACTCTTCCAACATCTGCCAAAGTCTTCTTACATCTAGTACCGCAGTTTCGGAAAGACCTCATACACATATTGAATTCCTGGTTTATCGGAAGGTACTCATCAGCAAGTTTTTCAAACGCACTTCTGTTCTGGTCTCGCAAAGCAAACGAGAGTGCATGAATTTTTGCATAGGTTTTCAAAACTAAATGAAGGTGCTTCAAATTCATCGCATCTATGCCAGCTGGCAGGGTATAGCCCTTTCTTCTTAGGTCTTCTAGTATCAGCATTTCCATTTCATTCGATAGAAAAGTTGTGTAGCACTTGGGAAAAATGTCAAATTCTATCGATGTTTCCCTGGGCTCCAGAAATTTTTCGAACGCTGGCAACACTTCGCTGTAGAAATATATCTCTCGCTCGTTGATGTTTTTCATTATTGGCATGTTCTTTCTCAACTCCTTGTTCCGTTTACCCAATTTGATGAATAAATCAACTTGTTTTGATTTGTTATATCGGTCGCTTCCAGTAACTTTAGCATACACGATGTCTGCAAGATATCCCTCCGTTTTTCCTGTAGTTCCCACAAAGTCGATTTTGAATTCGGTGAAATTCTCGTTTTGTAGCGAACTTTCGATACACAATTTGACTTCGTATTCTAGAAAGTCAGTCATCTTCACACAATACGTATTGCTTTTCAACTGAGTTGTGATACAGACATTCCCATAATCTGGGAATACCCAAGCGGTGTTGCCAACGCCACAGATGATATATCAGTTAGTTCTCATTAAGGCGTGTACCAGACCACTTTGAAATCAACCGAGTGAATTTATGTAATATAATAATGGGAATATTGGTGTTTGGAAAAATACTACATGGAAATATATCATTTTTATGTTAGAGTGTAAAAGGTATTTCCCCATGCGTGTAGAAGTTCCACAGTGTTGAAGAGGGCGAATAATTTTTATTGTCACATAGTTATATTAATATAAATATTACGGAATATATTCATGAAATTGTAAAACACGAACCTGTTTAAAAAATCTGTTTAAAATCTGTTTTTCCGTTAATCAGCTGTCGCCCCCATACGAACGACAACTCTAGTATATTGAGAAACTTGTGCGAGTTGAGGACTAACGAGGTTTTACCTTTTAACGTGTGATTCCTAACACGGTTGCAGAATCATCCCAGCTTCAACCAGATAAATTCTCTCGAGAAAAATATCTGGTCTAGGCTGGATCGAACTCACGGCCTTCCGATCGTGAGTCGGGCGCACTACCACCACGGTCAATTCCACAACATAAGAAATCTCTTCAAACTGTCTATTGGTTTCACATAAATAATAATAATAATAATTTGTCAAAAATACGTGGATAAACTGTGTTTCGATGAAATAGCCAGACAACTTACGAGTGAGTCTAATTCCAATTTATCACTTTATACAGTGCATTTCTTCAATGTCCCCCCCCCCTTTTATTTTTTGAACGGGTCAAGTCAAAAATTTGAAATTTGTGATAATGATATTAATGCATGAATACTTTATTTTGAAGTAGAATTGACAGATTAAACTTTCAAGATTGCGGCTGGAGCACCACCATATTACTCCAAACAAGTGAGGAACTATTTGGATACTATTTTTCCCGGTCGTTGGATTGGTCGTTGAGGTCCTAGAGAATGACCAGCCCGCTCGCCAGATTTGACACCGTTGGACTTTTTTTAATGGGGCTATTTGAAGCAAAAGGTGTACGAAACTGAATCTGCTTCAATATTGGATATACGGCAAAGAATAATAAATATTTGTAGATATATTTACGTTACTGTGTTCGAAAATGTTCGGCGTGAAATATCGGATAGGCTGTTCATGTGTGACGAAGTTCGAGGCAACCATTTCGAACATCTTATGAACTGACCCCAAGCTTATTACCTCATATTATACAGGGTGTCCCTGGACTTCCTCTTTTCCTCTCGGGAATGTATAGATGGGGTCAAAATATCACCAGTACTTCATATAACTTTTTTTCCTGAAATCCTTCGTTGTATTTGATAATCAAATCTGTGCCAGTACTGATAATTGTGTGTTCATCATATTTGGCATCTCCTTGATTCTAAATTTAACCTATCTACAAATCTTAACGAAATATTCAATAAAAAACTGCACGAAAAACAACTTAACTTTGTTAACATTCACAGTTTGAAAACTTACAATCATGAACGCGAATCCAAGAAATGAAATAGTGTCATGCATAGACATCGCAATGAAAGAACATGGTTTTTCCAATATAGTGGTTAATTTGTTGGGTACGAATGAAAAAGGAGAAGGATTCGCCGCAGACTTGATCTTCGCTGAAGTTACAGGTACCGACCAGGATAATGAAGAAAGGAAAGTTCATTTAGCCATCAAAATGGGTAAGAACAGTGCGAATTTGCGAAACAGTTTACCTATGAGAGATATCTACGAGAGGGAACTGTTCGTCTACCGGACAGTTCTTCCAACATTCCATGAATTTCAGTTGGAGAGGAATATCACTGAAACTTTCGAAGCCTATCCTAAGTGCTACAAAACATTTCTGTCCGAAGACAGTGAAGTCCTGGTGTTCGAAAATTTAAAGAAGAGGGGATTTGTGCTGCACCATCCCAGGAAACCAATGAACTTGCAGCACATCCATTTAGTTTTGAGAAACTATGCGAAACTACACGCTTTATCATTGGCCATGCGCGATCAAGACAAAAAAGATTTCCATGAATTGACGGCTGATTATACGTCACCCATGAAAGAGTTTGTTATTTCATCGGGAGTTTTCAGGAAGAAGGAGAGGGTGTGTGAACTTTTGGAAAATGGTGGAAGGGATGACCTAGTGGTGAAATTCGAGAAGGAAATCGGAAGTCGCAAAGAAAAAATCATTTTGGATATTCTGAATGATGTTGTTGAAGAGTCAGTGATAATCCATGGAGACTGTCATAACAACAACTTCCTTTTTAGATACGAGGTATGAATCTATAGAATTGTAAATTACTTTGCTTTCTTATTAAGTGAAATGGATTAATTTCATTATAATGTCAAGTCTTAACCAATAGTGTGATGAAAGAAAAATTTTGTGTGATTGTTCAACTACATTTTCAGCGATTAACATGGGCAAGATAGAGATACCTACGATAATTTCAATAAGGTATAGTTTAAGTAAACGATATAATGCAACATACATATGTATGTATATAATCGATCGCTTCATAAACACTTCACTAACTTCCATATTCTATGTTTCACTATCACTGTCGTCATTTAAATCAATAGTGGGTTTATTTCCACCATCAATAAAGTGTCCAATCGCCATATAGGTTTTTTCAACTAAAATTATTTTTTAATCCTTTTCTGTCAGTAATCTTCGGTAGTATTAGAAACTTCTTCTTTAATTAGCTTCAACACCCTCTTATCAAATTTTGGGAAATTATTTTTACGCCATATGCCCAGTTTCAATTTTCCTCAAATCAACTCGATGGGATTGAAAACACAAAAATTCGGGGGAAACCTCAGTATGGTGTGCCCACACTTCTCAGCAATACTTCAAGTAGTTGGTTTTTGGTATAGTATTTTTCAAAATGTAAATTGTTATCCATTGAAAAACTTTGTGTTTAATCTTTCCTCGAATTTTTATTCGGTACTTTGATGACTGTCGCGAATGATAGGAAGCGTTGTCAAGAGCTATTACACTATTCGCATTCAAATTTACGATCAATGTGTTTCCAAACCAATCCTCGAAAATATCATCTTGCATGTTCTTATAATAGTCAACATTGCAGTCCTCAAGTTTTTTCCAACATAATTTCAAAGAATTCGGAACCCATCCTTTACTTCCTCCGCATTGTACAATGATTAGTCGCGATCCTTTGTTCGCAGGCATGTTAGGCGTATACATTCTCGAACCATCAGTTCACCCTTTCGTAACTGTGTCGCGAGTGTTATACCAAGTATTGTCCAAATAGAAAATTAGCAGTTGTTGTTGTTGTTGTTGTTGTTGTCTATATTTAGTTATTTGTTCTAAGTATTTGTTACATAACTGCACTACTCTTCTGCTTTCCATAACTGCTTGACGTTTGTTTATTATTTCAAATCTAAATCCTAGTTTCTTCATCCAATTTTGAAGAGTTTTGTACCAGCAGCTCACGTTATGGCCGGAAGTATTCAATTTCTTCCTTATGATTTCAATTGTAGGAATCACATTGCTTTTGTAACAGTCGTATATTGTTTTTTAAATGATTTTATTAGATGAACATCTAAAGATTTCGGTGATTCCATATCACATCAAGTCTTGCGTTCATTAGGTTTGTTGTTGACTATTTTACGTACAGTTGAGAAAGGAATTCCGGTCAAATCTGATGTTGCCTGTAATAGTTTGTTTTCTTCGAACTCAACTCAAAATGTCGTTTTTTCGCATTGTTCACCATCGCTATTGGAATCACCACATTGGAAAAAGTCTACGTTCTTATCACACTCGATATTACTATTAGTACTTGTCCAAGGATGCCACATTTAGAGCAGATAACAAAATTTTTAAGTAATTATAACTGCACCAACATCGAATTTCAACACTCAATCAGTTCCTGAACTGAACATTGACGACACAACAGCGATACTCATCCCTATATTCTATTTATCACCGTAACATGACTTCAAATTTGATTTTATGACTCTTCCGCCAACCATAAAACTCGCTCATTAAAAATTATCCAATACGAACCACCAATTCGACAGTCAACGTGGACTTGTTCGGAGCCAGTTCATTTTCAGGTATTGGTTTTTTGACATTTGAGAGTGCCGCCAACTTCAAGTGTGCACAATATCGTTTACTTCGACTATACCCTGAACAAAAAAATATTTTTTGAAAGAAGTGATAATCCACTTCACTTTTTTTGTAGTCTAATTCGACCTCTGTCGTCAGCCTTGAACTAAAATTACTAATAATAATTTTCAAATTTGATGAGCGGTGTTGTCGGATGAACTTACACTATACAGAGTGATACATATTGTAGTAATGATGTAACATTCTTTTTGAAGACACAACCTTATAGAATATCAATTTCAGATGTGTACAATCGGTTTTTCCGGGTTTCCCTGCAGCTGAAAAAGCAAATGCGCCACTGGAATCAATGAAGTCGCCCTGGAGCGCCAATAAATTTTTATTGTTGTTATTTTCATCGTTGTTTCAATAAATCATTATATTTCTGTAAAAAAATTGGTATTGAATTCGTACAGCGTGATAGAAATTTCCAGTTTATTGTTAGTGATTATTCGTAAACAGTTGAAAACTATCAAATTGGATATTCAGTTCTGTACTTCACAATGATCAAGGCGTAGATTTATTTGCTCATAATATTTAGATGTACAACAGAGTGAGTAACAATAATAGAAAATAAAATAGAAAACCCATGAAAGGTGAAACCTTGTCTCTTTCGATGTTCACAAATATAAGCAGTATATTTGAGGATGTTCAAGTTGAATGTACTTTAAAGTTTTATGTGTCTATGTATTGTTAGGGCCCAATTTGTATTAAACTTGTTTTCTGAATTTCTCTTTGAATAGCTTCGAGAATTAGTTCGGGGGCTGGTTTGAAATCCAGTTAATTGTGTGATTCGACAATCAGGGTACTAATTAGTGGATATTTGACGAATTTGAGCTGATTATAAATAATGAAACCTGAGGTCTAGTTTCAATTCAGAGGAGAATTCGGACGAAGAAATTTTTTGTAAACATTCTGAATTCATTTTTCTGACGATGAACCCCGAAATGAAAAATTCGAAATGAATTTTCTTGAGAGAAAGTAGCTCTTTGAGAAAAAATGTTTGGCTTTCTATTTCTCCATCATTTCACAAAAATGTAAGACTCTTCCTAGGAAAAAAGTATGAAGCACAGACACAAACTGAAAAAAACTACTTGAAAAAATGTGAACAGTGAACTTCACAGAAATCACCTTGTTGCGATTGTTGTACTCCAAATATTCGTTATGGAATTGGAACAATAATTCACAAAGACAGCTGCAAATGAAATGTTGGTTACACATAGTTTCCATTTCATAACGATGTGTGGGAAAATGTCATTTGATGTTCCCATGTTCATATGTTTGAGAATAGTTGTTTATGACATGCTTTTTCCTTCCATTTTGTATCTGAAAGGAGTTTCTTCACATCGAAGTCGATTATTTTTTCATTTTTCCCACTTTTTGGTGAACGGAATGCGCTAGAAAAGTTTCTTTTCCACACCTTTCTGAACCTAGAAAAAGATTCAATAATACTGATATTGATATTTTCAGGAAAACGATGAGGAAAATCCACTTGACGTAGCTATACTTGACTGGCAAATTTCCACCCTGAATTCTCCAGCTATGGACCTCAGCTGTTTTTTGTATTTATGTGCATCTGGAGAATCTTTATCTCGATTAGAAGAACTTCTTGAATTGTATCATTCGAACTTGAGGGACTTTTTGAGACAACTTGGGTCCGACGTTGAAGAGTTATTTCCTTATAACATCCTAGTGAACCATTGGAAGAAATACACTCCTTATGCTTTGGCTTTAGTGACAACTTTTTTGGAACTGTTGTTCTTTCAGAAACAAGATGTACCAGAATTTGAAAACATTCAGGAACAGAGTGATATGGCAAAATTCATGGAAGGGAACCAATTAGAAGATGAAGATTTATATAGAGAGAGGCTAATATCAGTTATCGACCATCACTTCAACTTTGTATTGGACTAAACGGTATTTGCTTATTTCATTAGCAGGAAGAAATCTTGAAATAAATATCACGACTAATATCAATTGTGATACTTATGAGAAACGCGTTAATGAAATAAATTTTCAGACCCTCAGAGACCAATGTTCATGCCTAAAATGATAATGATCTGCTAAAATCTGTTTGAAATCTTTTCTTTTGTTAACCCGCTTCAGGAATCGCACATTAAAAGTTGAGACTTCGTTTATCCTTAGTTTGCAGTAATTTCGACTTTTGAGGGGTTATCGTTCATAGCGGGCAACAGCTGCTTAACGAGAATAATAATAAGGATGATAATAAAAATAATAATGGTCATTTTCAGAAGAGGGGTATTTCAGGGCGAATATTTGTTCTAGAGATGAATATGGAAGCAATGAATCAGAATTCTTGAATCAAAATCAGATGATTGGACAATGAGAAGGAAAAAAATTTCTATGGTAAATGTTCGAAAACGTTTCCACCAACTTCTATACAACGGTACAAACGAGCTTCCATTGCCACCCTCACATGGTTGAGAATCTCGAGAGTTATTTCTCTGCAATGTCCCATGGTATTCTCTCTCAAAAGTTCTAATGTTGATTCTATCTCGCACACTTTAGACTTCAAATGAACCCATAGAAAGAAATCTACAGGAGTGAGATCCGGAGACCTTGGTGGCGATTCTATAGGACCCTGCCTGCCAATCCAGCGACCAGAAAAATGATCATCGAAAAATTGTCGCACTGGAGCTGCAAAATGAAGAGGTGCACCATCCTGCTGGAAAACTATTTTGTTTTCGAATAAATTTATATCTTCCTCAAATTGCTCTATTGATGCAAGGTATTAATCGATTCTCCAAAATATCCGAATATTTATCACTAGTCAAATTATCATCGATGAAAAAAGGTCCTATGATGTGGTCACCTAAAATTCCTGCCCAACCATCAGGTTTTTGAGGTCGCTGGGTATGAACTTGACGGTATAAATGAGGATTCGTATCACTCCAGTATCGACAATTTTGCCGATTCACCTCTTCATTTAAACTAAACGTACATTTATCGGAAAAAAAATTATACAAGAAATTCTGAAGCAAGTTGATCCGTTCAGTGGGACTTTCACAAAACTCGATACGTCTATCGAAATCATCTTCGTTTGTTTGAAGGTGGTTGACAATGGTTTCGTGGTTTATTTCATCAGTTCCGACTTCCATTGTCTAATATAATATAAATTGATTTGAAATCTTCTACAATAGCAATCAGCCTCTCATTGTACAAATCCTCATTTATGATTTTCACATCTGATTTTTCTTTTCGAGAGTTATTTCCGAAATCCTCAATCGATGGATCATCTCCTTTGTCGCTGAAATGCATTCCTAATACACTTGTTGACATAGTGAATCCATAACTGGAATATTTTCTCCAATGTTGTACTAGCGTGTCCCACGGAAATATTTTGCCAGCATCGGATCCTAACTTCTGCATAAATTCTGTCAAATGAAGATGGTAGAATTTGAGAACATCTTTCAGCTGGGAGAGTACTTCATGGGATGCAGCAGAATACAAGAAATATGAAAGGTCCAGGACTGGTGAGTGAAGTTCGGAAACCTGCCAGTCGATAATAACCACACACTGTGGGTTCTCCTGGTCGTTATCCTGAAATGAAATCAACAGAAATGTAATCGAATACTCATTGTATGTTTCTCGAATGGAAGCTAGTTGGTTAGGGAATTCCGCTCATGGAGCTTATGATGAGCTGAGCGTAGATTTGATCCTTGCCAAGTTGGGAAGATTTGAGAAGTAAAGTCAGGAAAACATTCCTCAGAAATGGATAATGGAACATGTCAGAGTTTGAGAGTATTACATGGGCTGAAAGTCTGGGGCCTAACACATAGATGGCGCATTCATCGCTCTTTCAATTAATCGGATGGAAGGAATTTCACTCAGGAAGCTTCTGATGAGCTAGGCGTAGTTTTGATCCATGCCCGGTTGGGAATTCATTAACAAGTTCATCTACTTTCGCAGACTGTCAAAATCATGTACTATTTTTACATGCAATCACTGGCTGTGATACGACATCTTCATTTCACAGGAGTGGTAAAATGACAGTTCTCAAAATTTTTGAAAAAACAAAATTTAGTTCAATGTGCTGGAGTTTTTAAAAATAGTAATTCAACTCGACAAGAAATCATCACTAACTGCATTCGCTTTCTTCTTTCTATGTACGGAACTCCTAAAAAACTACCTGCCTAGATAAGTATAGATAGGCATGTTTCGTTAAAAATACCAGAATTAAAGAACCTTGTCTTCCTCCAATCTCAGTTGTTGCTCATTAATATCTTTTTCGGGTATATTACAAAGTTCAAGTGTGGCTTGGTTATCAGCTAGACCCTACGGACTGGGGTTGGAAGTTGATCAATAATTCATTAGAACCAGTCATAACTTTACTTCCACCTGCGCCGGAAAAACTGCTGAACACAATTTTTCGCAACCGCAAAAAGGGGTGCAGTGCTAAATGTGGTTGCTTAAAAGCCGGCCTGTTTTGTTCTCTAGCATGTACACATTTTCAAGGCCGGTCGTGCTTTAATATTGAATCACCAACAGTGGAGGATCTGTTTGATTCCAACGAGGCAACAAGCGATACATCGCTATTAACGCAGTTTACATGTAGTCAGGATGAAGATGAAGAAGAAGAAGAAGAACAAGAAGAAGAAGAACCAGATGAACAAGAAAAAGAAGATCAAGAAGAAGAACAAGAAGAAGAATTTGAAAGTTACGACTCCGATTCTACAATAGCAATCAGCCTCTCATTGTACAAATCCTCATTTATGATTTTCACATCTGATTTTTCTTTTCGAGAGTTATTTCCGAAATCCTCAATCGATGGATCATCTCCTTTGTCGCTGAAATGCATTCCTAATACACTTGTTGACATAGTGAATCCATAACTGGAATATTTTCTCCAATGTTGTACTAGCGTGTCCCACGGAAATATTTTGCCAGCATCGGATCCTAACTTCTGCATAAATTCTGTCAAATGAAGATGGTAGAATTTGAGAACATCTTTCAGCTGGGAGAGTACTTCATGGGATGCAGCAGAATACAAGAAATATGAAAGGTCCAGGACTGGTGAGTGAAGTTCGGAAACCTGCCAGTCGATAATAACCACACACTGTGGGTTCTCCTGGTCGCTATCCTGAAATGAAATCAACAGAAATGTAATCGAATACTCATTGTATGTTTCTCGAATGGAAGCTAGTTGGTTAGGGCATTCCGCTCATGGAGCTTATGATGAGCTAGGCGTAGTTTTGATCCATACCCAGTTGGGCATTCATCAACAAGTTTATCTACTTTCGCAGACTGTCAAAATCATGTACTATTTTTACATGCAATCACTGGCTGTGATACGACATCTGCATTTCACAGGAGTGGTAAAATGACAGTTCTCAAAATGTTTGAAAAAACAAAATTTAGTTCAATGTGCTGGAGTTTTTAAAAATAGTTATTCAACTCGACAAGAAATCATTACTAACTGCATTCGCTTTCTTCTTTCTATGTACGGAACTCTCAAAAAACTACCTGCTTAGATAAGTATAGATAGGCATGTTTCGTTAAAAATACCAGAAGTAAAAAACCTTGTCTTCCTCCAATCTCAGTTGCTGCTAATCAATATCTCTTTCGGGTATATTACAAAGTTTAAGCGTGGCTTGGTGATCAGCTAGACCCTACAGACTGGTGTTGGAAGTTGATCAACAATTCATCCAGTCCAAACTTTACTTCCACCTGCCGGAAAAACTGCTGAACACAATTTTTCGCAACCGCAAAAAGGGGTGCAGTGCTAAATGTGGTTGCAAAAAAGCCGGCCTGTTTTGTTCTCTAGCATGTACACATCGTCAAGGCCGGTCGTGCTTTAATATTGAATCACTAACAGTGGAGGATCCGTTTGATTCCAACGAGGATAAATGCAATACATCGCTATTAACACAGTTTACATGTAGTCAGGATGAAGATGAAGAAGGACAAGATCAAGAACAAGAAGAAGAAGAACAAGACGAACAAGAAAAAGAAGATCAAGAACAAGAAGAAGAATTTGAAAGTTACGACTCCGATAATTGAATTTCACTACTTTTTTTTAACTTCAATAGCTTTTATCTTGTCAATCTCTGCTAATATCCATTATTTTGCCATAGTTCCAAATTGAACAGGATCACAACTGACCCGTGGAATAGGCCTACTGGGAAAACCACGTTAAAAAAACGCGCTAAGTACACTACCTCAGAGGTGGCGTGGAAACGTGTGCATATTATGACGATTGCAACTTTTACAACTATTTGAATCGTTATATCTCAAAAACGGTGACCCCTAGGAAAAAAAGTTTTGCTACATTTTTTGTAAATAATTTTATGGTCTACAATTTTTGCCTGAAGTTATTTCATGATAAAACTTACCGTTTTGCTGAAAATCGCGAAAAACTCATTTCTTGACCTTTGACCTTGAATAACATTTTTCCCATACAGGGGAAAGATGGGGAACTTTCAAATTTCATTTTCGATCATATTTTAAACAATCTTACTGATTATCAGCTAGATGGGAATTTAGGTAGCTTCGAATGTCTAAATTGACCGGACTATAAGAGCAATTTTGCTTCAAGATATATAAATTCTTTGATAAATGTTTGGAATGCTATGTGAATTTGTGCTTGAAGGAATCAAAAGTTGCTTTTCAACCTATCACGTGAAATAGTTTGGGAATCAATGACTGATCCTAATTTTTTTTTCATCAAGTGAGTGGTTGAATAATGAACACACTAATTTTGTATAAAATCAAACGATCAGTGGCTCACTCATTGAACTCCTAGTCTAGATCATGTGAAATATTTAATGTCTATAAAAAAATCCAAAACTCTGCGTACCTTGTACTTGAAGAGAAAATTATTGTTGTGGCAGTCTCCATGGGTTACAACTGACTCTTGAGGGACATCCTCCAGGACTTGCAAAAGAACAATATCCTTGCTTTTCTCCATTTTATTCTCATATTTTATTGCTAAATCTTCTCTTCCAATTTCTCTCAACTTAATGGATAAATGATCGTTTCCCTTGAAAACGTCAGTATTTGAAATGAATGATATCATTATTGATTTGAGATCAGCTGCTATCTCATCGAAAGATTCCTTGTCTTGATCACGAAGAGCGAACGACAAAGCATGCAATTCAGCGTAATTTTTCAGAACCAAACGAATATGTTGCATGTTCATTGGAACCGTGGCAGAGTGCAATTTGAGTCCTTTCTGTTTCAAATTTTCCAAAACTAAGGCTTCTATGTTGTCAGATAAAAAGGTCCCATAACATTTAGGAACAGAACTGAATGTATCCGTCATGTTCTTTTGCCTTTGAAATTTCTTGAACGCTCCAAATATTTTGTCGTAGACAAATATTTCCCTCTTGTAACCATCCGTTATGAACATCATATTGTCTCTGAACTCTTTGCCTCTTTTTCCATACTTGACAGCCAAGTGGATCTCTTTCGTTTTATTATCCTTGTCGATTCCACGAACAGTTGCAAAGATGAAATCTGCCACATACCCTTCTCCTTTTTCGTTGGTGCCAGCAAAATCGATTTTCACTTCAGAAAAAAATTCCGAATTCACAGATTTCTCAATACACGAAACAATTTCATTCTTCAATGCCTCATCCATGGTTTATGCGTTAGGTAGGAATGGTAATAGACTGGTCCACGGAAAAATTGTGCTGAATTAAATACTCTGACTTGTTTTTCATTAGATTGCACAAATGACATATTTATCTAATCTTAGTTTTTCCCAGCCAAAACTTTATTTACAATTCACTTCAATGAGTGGAATCAATTTAGAATTCTATAATACACCAATTGAATATTTCATATACAGGGAATGTCAGAAATATCTCTTGTTCCACGTTTTGAGAAACTGTCTTGCATGTTCTTAT